ATGTCGGAGAAGGCAAAGGAGAAGAATTGGAGGAATGGCGGGAGGAGTTGGAGATAGGCAAGCTTGGCAGGGTGAAGCTGCCGAGCCTGAGGCAAGGGCAGAGACTTCAAATGAATTAGAACGCTGGAGGTTATTGCCACACCTATGCGCCTGGGTATTGCACAAAGTTGCCCACCCGATATGGAGGGCAAACCAGGTAAAACAAGGTGCAGGCCCAGGCCCCAACGACGGCGTCAAGATTGCAAATTTGCACAGGCCTGACAGGGGCAAAACACACAGAATTAGGCCCAAAACCGCATTCCGCTCTGCCCACATCTTTTAGGGGCATTTTGGCATATATCTGGACTTATAATACAAATCATTAAAACGGGAAAAAAAACGAAAAAAAAGAAATAAAAAATGATTGATTGATTGATTGATTGATTGATTAGATGTAAAAAAAGAAAAAAAACGCTAAAAACGCTTCGGAGTGAACGTTTCTTCCTGCGCGCGCACACACACGAGAGAGAGAGAGAGGGGGGGGGGGCGTGTGTTCGTGTGTGCGTGTGTGTGTGTGTGTGTGTGTGTGTGTGTGTGTGTGCGTGTGTGTGCGTGTGTGTGCGAGTGTGTGTGTGTTTGTGCGTGTGGGGTGTGTGTGTTTGTGTGTGTGTGCGCGCGTGTGTTTGTGTGTGTGTGTGTGGCGTGTGTGTGTTCCAGTGTGTTGTGAATGTTCACCACAACATCCCCTGATCCACCCAGATGAGTAGATCCAAAATCGCAGCAACTTTACCTGTATTGTAGAAGATGAAGCATGCTTGAGATGAGTCAATCCAGCATGGAAACAGTGTTACCTCCATAGTTAACAACATGAGGTACAATAGAAATGTTACCTTTATGCCATCAATGCCTCCACGAGTAGATCCAACATCATAGGAAACTTGACCTTTATGCAAGCAATGCAGCATACTTGAGAGGGGGTTACCCAACAATGAGACAGGTAGCAATATGATAGACAATAGATCAATTATGCCATTTTCTTGAATATATTCACCATTATTTTTGTTGGGAGGCCTCCCAGTTTATTTGTTCTTACATACTCCACTTACTGTGCCTCTCACGTACAAGGCGGGCCACGTTGATGATGGTTAAGCGCAAGCTGCCCACATCCCCGTGTGCCTTAACACCCCACTTGCACATTATGAAAGGAGGCAGTGTGTGTGTGTGTGTGTGTGTGTGTGAGAGAGAGAGAGAGAGAGAGAGAGAGAGAGAGAGAGAGAGAGAGAGAGAGAGAACGAGTGTGCCCGTGTGAATGTGTGTGTGTGTGTGTGTGTGCATGTGTGTGTGTGTGCGTGTGTGTTGTCATATTCACTATACACTCAAAAAAAGCATGACTGTGCCAGAGTGTGTCTGAGTGTTTTGTGTGCAGTCAGGGCCGGTGGGTGACCCTCTCCCGACCAATCAATCAATCAAAAAAAATTATATTTCGGACGCGTTCCCCCCCCCCCCACCCTTTGTACACAATCAATCAATCAATCAATCAATCAGTCAACCAGTCGATCAATCAATCAATCAATCAATCAATCTTTTTCTTTTCTCTTTTTTTATTCCCGACCAAACAAAACAAAAATAAAATTAAAACTTCTTTTTTGTCTGGGGGATACGACCGTTCGTCCCCCTTTCAAAACGCTCAACCCCCCCCGGAAGGCCTCCTTTTCCCCCCGTATGGCTATTCGTACGGGCCATACGACCTCCGAGGGGGCCGTTCACATGGCCATTCGAGCCATATGAACAGTCCGCATTCGTGCGGGCGTATACACAGGTCTGATGTGGCCATCGGGCAGATTTGTGCTTGTTGTATGATATCGTTGAGGATGGCAACGCCCAGATCATATCGATTCTGCTTCTCCGGGTAATTGTGTTGTTGCCCCAAAAGGTATAGGTCCTGTCCTCGGGGTGTATTACTCTGAAGGAGTCTGTACATCCCAGTCCAGTCATACCATTCACCAGCACCAGCGAGTCAGCTTCCATCTGGCTGCCTCCAACCGCATCCAGTGAAGGGGTCACTACAGAATTGAAGTCATCTGCAATGATGATCTTGCCCACCTCACGTATTAATTTTTGGATCCGTTCCCACGTTCTCCTTCGCGACCCAATCTCCATTGGCCCGTAGAATGTGATCACTCCCCATCTCTCCTCTCCCCACTGCAAGATTACCCACGCCCATCGCCCCCGCGAGTCGCAGAACCAGTCTACTGTTTCCCCTCGGAAGTGAGGCAATATCAGGATGCACCCCCCCCGTTTGGCGCCCTGCGCCGGGGCCCACACCTGGTGGCCCTTCCACCACAGTCCAGGGTTCCCGGTCCTAGCCTCGTCGAGCTTTCTGTCTCTTGGAGGCGAACCACATCAATCTGCTCTGCTTTGACCTTCTTGAGCTCCGGCCGCTTCGCCTGCAGCGAATTCCTTCCCAGGCCTCTCATGTTCCATGTCATCAGCTTCAACCTGTTCCATTGCCTCACTCTCTGCATCTACCCCTTTTCCTACCTACACTACTTGATTCCGTCCTCCTATGCTCCCTGGCCTCTACGTTACCTTCATACCTACGACATTCCCTACTCTCCCATCTATTCTCCCCTCAGTTCCACCCTCCTCTATTTTGTTGCCGGGTGGGGGGTGTCATCATCCTAGTGACACCCGTCCCCAAACATTCCAATTTTAACGGATGTTTGAATGAAAAATACTTGACTAACCCTCCTACGTTGCAGGTTTCTCAACTCGTTGTGACAAACAGGCAACAAAGACGGCAAATTAATGTGGATAATACCAGATATGCAAAATAGGACAGTGCAACGTGGAGATTTCTTACCTGGGTAAGCAACTCCTTGGGGCGAAACTCGTACTTCTCTGGATCTCTAACTTTCAGCGCCTTTCGCTGGGGCCCCACCAGCTGGAGAAGAAAGTAGTTCAACATTGCTGCTATTCGTTCTATCTGCAAGGACGTACATCGAATAGCACAGCACCAGCCAAACGACCCGTCATGGATGTGTCATGACAACTCTTGGATGAGCTGAGAAGTCGCACCTAAGGATGAAATCCTCACAATGGGACATTCCTGAACATATATGACGTCAATCATGGCCAGATTCAGTTGTGAAAGTCTCCTACAGTGCTTAGTTCCTTAGAATAGCAGATGTTTTTCCTCAAAAGGACTCGACTTACATGTAAAATGCTGTTTCAAGTTTTAGTCTCATATGAATGCAATTTCATGACATGCTTTAGTTAAACATTACACATAATTGCTGCATTACTGGGTGATCACTGGCCTGGGCAGGAACATTCCACTTAGACACTGGCCAACCCAGATCACTCAGCATGACATGCTTTAGTTAAACATTACAC